AATATAAAATGTCATCTTTAGCGAGAACAACATGACACTAGACCAATCTCGAAGCTACATCAAGAAATAAGCGATGCCCGGAAGGATGCAGCCAGGAAAGTCCTTTTTCTTCTTTTCAATGGTTATAAAAAGAAAATTGTCTAAAGAAAAGAGAGTGGAATGTGCCGTGGGTTGGTAGCATATGTAAAAGCAGAACACAGGACAAAATATGACAAAAAGTAGGAGGGGGACAGGAGGGCCCTGCCAGGAGGAGCCCAGGCCACACACAGGGTGGCTTTGTTTCTGCGAGGTGGTCTGTGATGAATTAAAGAGACACATCCCGTAGTCACTACTGAAAAACCTCAGGACAACCACTGGAAAAAGTCATAAAGGTATAAATAATAAGCCAATATGGGCTGGGGATGTGGCTCCGGCTGGGGATGTGGCTCAAGCGGTAGCACGCTTGCCTGGCACGCATGCGGCCTGGGTTCGATCCTCAGCACCACATACAAACAAAGATGTTGTGTCCGCCGAGAACTAAAATAAATAAATAAATAAATATTTTTTAAAAAAATAAGCCAATAATGTCGTATCATGAATTCTGAACTAATGCAAAAACAGACCATAAAAAGGACGAGGAAGGGTAAAACAAAGGACAGATGGACAACTGGAAAATAACTGGCCAACAGGCGGACTTGTGTTCCAATCATACCAATGCTTGCATGAGTGAAATTGGGAAACACAGACTGGATAAAATAGGAAGACCCAGCTGTATACTGTTATAAGAAACACATTTTAAATGTAAACACACAGCTAGGTGGACAGTCCAAATGGTACAGGACATAACACGCCAACCTGAACAGAAGAAAGCCAGAGTAGCCACCCCACAGACAAAGTGGACCTCAAGATCAGGGTCATTACACAAGGTCAAAGGAACAAATTCACCCGTGGCCCATGACCATCCCAAACAGGCATGTGTCTAGCCACAGATACACACAAAACACATTTCAAAAAACTGCTACAAGTGAAAGGAGAAATGGACAAGTGTGGTTGTGTTTGGAGCGTCCTCTCTCAGTGACCAGTAAAGTCAGAAGACACAATCAGTGGGATACAGAAGAGCTGACCAACACCAGTGACCGGCTTGGCTGGTGACCCCCGGGAGCACACGGGCAGCACATACAACCCACACCATGTCCCACACTGTGCTGCAAAACAACCCTCAACAAACACGACGGGCTGGCCTCGTGTGACGAGTGTCCTCTAACCAGGAGATTGAGTGTCTTCTAACTCAAAAGGGAAGAAGAGGTCTGCATTGAGGATGGCGAAATCCTCTAAGGTTAGACCTGGTGATCCTTACATGGCTGGTGACACATTGAGGCACCGTCTGTCACGCTGCAGGTGTGTGGACCTCTTACTAGAACTAATAGCAAGGTCACCAGGTCAGCATGGAAAGCAAGCTGTATTTTGATATGCTGGCGATTAAAATGTTGGCAAGCCACTCATAATCACACGCCCAATTGAACTACTTTCCCTTTCAGGAGTGATCTTAGAGTGTTGGCCTTTGGTGTCCTGTTATAGTGGCAGTTATGTCACCCTAGGTGACTCTCAGAACCCAGGGAACTGAACTCCAAGAAGGATGACTTCTCCAGTACAGGAGTTGCACCTGGACAAACCTGTGGGGACACCCCGCCAACTAGGAACAGCAGTGCGGAGGTGGGTGTGGGGTCCTTGGTGGCTCCAGAGTGTGGTCTCTGTTACACACACTTGAAAATAGTCTCTAATGGATGCAGTCTGCAGCTGACTGGGCCTCACGGTGGCTCCGCGTCCCCAAAGTGTCTCAGCCCAGTGACTTTCCAACATGGGTTCTGAAGTCCACCACCTACACAGTCACGGGGCCCGCCCTCAAGCCTGTTTTTGTCTCCCCTACCTGTGGCTGTGACTAGAGGACAAGGTCCCAACAGACAGGCTCCGACGCATCATTACCCCTGGGTCACCTGAGCAGTGACACCTGCCATCTGGAGTGAAATCAATCAATTAGCTCGTGCCTCATAGGGGAGTCCTGCAGAGCCTCTGGGCACCGCTGCAGTTAGTGGGCACTGCAGAGTCACACTCCATGAAAACCTTCGAGACTGAATGGCTGGGCCAGGGATTTTCTGGGGCGAGCCTGAACCAGGGAGCGTCCTAATGGTGAATTTCAAGAATCCCCTACAAATGGAATCAAACCAGAAATCCAAACATCTGGTTGGAAATCAACGGAATGTCACCATGACTTTGCAGTGTGTGAGCCACCTTGGCTTACGCCATGACCACAGACACCCTCCTAGACAACGCCCCAGACTCAAGGGGGCCTTGGCCTGCTGAGTGGCCGGGACGCTAGAGGGTAGATTCTACGGAAAGCTCTTTTTTTTGCTTGCAGTCTGGGGAGGGAACACACGGCCTCGAGCGGTGCCAGGCAAGTGCTCTTCCACTGAACTACTTCACTCCCGCCTCTTTGATGGGATTTTAAGAATGGATTTCTATTTTTCCTTTTTCTTCTTCTTCTTCTCTTTTATTTTGGCACTTGGGAAAGCCCAGAAGTGCTATATCACTGAGCTACATCTCCAGTCTTTTTGGGTTTTTTTTGACACAAGGTCTTGCTAACTTGCCTAGGTTGGCCTCACATTTGCAATCCTCCAGCCTCAGCCTCCCAAGTCACTGGGATTACAGGCGTGTGCCACCACATTCGGCTAGGAATAAATTTCTACACTGAAATGTCTCCAAACACATGTAACCGGGGTGTTTCTCTGAGCTACCCTGGAAGGCTCAGCCCTTCTTCTGTGTGGGAAAGCACCACATCGGCCTTGCTTTAGATGGGTGCGCTGGGCCTTTGAAAGTGAACCCGGGCCCCCTCCCCTCAGTGCAGGTTGCGTCCACCCCAGCACCACCTTTGTGGAGGCTGCTCCAGCCACCGGATGCGCTTCCCTGCTCTCCCTCTGACCTTTCATCTGCCTTCCAGACACAGGCCAGAATCATTTTCAAAGTCCAAGTCGGGTCACATCTCTTGCAGCTTACAAAGCCCGTGAATGTTCCTTCAAGGTGGGAACACTCCCCGCCCTGCTGCGGGACCTCCACATCACCTGGCCCTTCCCACAACCCAAGATGCCCTGTCCGCCTTCTCCAGCTCACTGCCTGGCTGGATGTGCCGGACACCACCAAGCTCACAGTGAGAGCCCTAATTCCCAGTGTGAGGGCCTTAGTTGGTGGTCCCGGCGGGGACTGGGTTGTGAGGGGTCCTGCGTCCTCACAAAGACAGGCCCAAGGGAGATGATCTCCCTGCCGCGCACAGAGAAGCAAGAAGGCTCCCGTCCATGAGCAGGAGGCCCTCCCCACACCCACCCTCGCAGCCCCTGACCTGGACTCCCAGCCCCAGAACCGTGGGCAGCACACTCATGCTGTTTACTGGCCCATCTGGGTGTTTTGTTACAGCAGCTGACTCAGATGCAGGCCTCGCTCCAAGGTCATGTGGCTGCATGCCCTCCTGGCCTCCTGCCTCCCCAGGACTGCCCTGGCACCTCTGCCTGGAATCCCCAGCCTCAGCCCTCCTGAGCCAGTCTGTGTGAGCGCTCTCCCTGACTGGGCAGCAGACACCTAAGGTAGGCGAGGCCAATGCAGCAGCTTTCCAGCAAGGATTTGGGGAGGTGGACACAGCAATGGCCACCTGAAACAGGCTAGAAGAGCCGGGGGTAGGGTCTCCAGGACCGAGTGCTGCTTCTCCTCTCCCTGTGGCAGACCATGGACCACACCTACGTCACTGACCCTGTGCTCTCTGTGCCTGGAAAGCAGGAGAGAGAAACACCAGACCCATCGGAAACTTGGGAGCAAGATGCCCGTCACTGGAGTTCTAAACTGCCTGCGGGAATGGAGGAGATAACGGAAGAGACAGGGGTCCGAACAGAGAACAATGACTTAGGAGAGCCCCAGGGGCCTGTGACACTGCCACCCACAGCCCAGCAGGGAGGAGTGTGTGCTAAAGCGGTTTTGAAGAAATAAGGCTGTGACCTTCACAGTGTGACCGAGAGTCAGCGTCTGATGAACGGGTGGCACCATGACTCCTGAACAACCCATCTCTCTGTCCCTGCCTCTGTCCCACGGTCTCAGTCTCTGGCTCCTCTGTCTGTCTCTGGACCTGTCTCCCTCCCTCCCTCCCTCCCTCTGTTCCTCTCTCTCTCTCTTTCTCTTGCACTGGGACCTCCATTCTCCTCCCCTGATCGTCAGAGCTGCAAGTCCACCGGCTTCAGACTTAGACTGGGTTTCACCACCGGTCTTCCTGGGTCTCCGGCCTGCAGACGGCATATGGTAGGACTGTCCAGTTCCATGATCACGTCAGTCCCTTCCCCTGTCTGTCTCTGGAGAGGCGGATCATAGGCCGATAAAGACAGAGGGAAGTCCTGTTGGCCACGTTTCTGGGAGGCATCCTGACTAACACAGCAACAGAACTAGGACTCGCAAAATCAGCAAGGGACTAAGAGATGAGCTGCCTGCTGGGCCATCTGGATCTAATCCACATCCCGGAACACTCCACCCAACAGCATCAGGACACACGTCTCCTCAAGGGCACATGAGCTAGTCACCAGGATAAACCCCATCCTAAGCCGTAAAGTAAATTTTAATCAATATGAAAGAAGCAAAACCATATAAAATGTGCCCTCTGGACATCAGGAAATTGAGCTGTAAATCAGTTATGGAAACAAAACAGCAAGTCTACGTCACTGGGCTCTGAGAAGCACACACCACCCAACCTGGGGGTGACAACGTGCCATCAAGAGAAATTCAAAAAAATCCTAAACAGTGAAAATGAAGACATGACGTACCAAACTTTGCAGGGAACAGATAAAGCAGAGCTTTAGGGAAATGTAAAGCCTTGAATGACTGTTAGAAAAGAAAAAATATGTCCAGTCAGTGACTTAAGCTTCAGTGATAAGAAACTGGAAAAAAATAGAGTGAAATAAATGTAAACCCAACAGAAAGGAAAAGAACCGCTTTATTCAGTAATTATGTTTTGGGGCAGGGAAATTGTGGCAGAGCCTAAATTATCGCTCTGATGCCAATGCCTGGGAGTCTTCGATGATGTCCACTAGGACAGAGGGTTACTAGTCTGTCCTTGCAAGTACAGCTTCAAGTAGCTTCAGCTGTCATCCTGTCCCTCTTCCCAGCCGACCCCATGCTCCAGGTGCAGCCTATCACTCCGCCCTCCCTGGGGGTCCTGGGTGCACGGGCTCCACTGGGTGTCCTCGCCCAGCTTCCTCTCGTGAAGGCCACCAGCCCCAGGACACACCCCGCTGATTGCTCAGCGTCCAGGTGCTGCCTGACGCGTCTCACCTGCTCCACTTCATGGGACATTGCTGACCCTTCTGTGCCGTGGCCACCAATGGCTGCCAGATCAGATCCTACTCTACCTGTCCCACAGCTGAGGCCGCGGGAGCTCCTGAGAACGTGCCTCAGAGGCCACCTGCACAGTTAAATTGCCGTCCACCTTCAGTTTGTCACTCAAGGGGATGGAGATGCCGCTTCTCGGTCACGTCCGGGGTGCCAGCCCTGCTCCCAGGGTCGGCCTCGCCTGCTCACAGCCTCCGACACCTCCTGAGCACCCTCCCTGGGTGCACCCTGCTTGTTTGTCCTCAGTGTGGTGTTTGTTAGTGTCCCTGGAATGAGTCCCTCTTGCCAACAAGCTGGGACAGTGTGGGACAGGAGGCAGCCCCCAGCACTGTCAGTTTTCCTTAACAGTCGCTTCACAAAAGCACGAGCGCTCCCTCTGCAGTCCCTCCTTCTCCGTGTTACTGAACTGCCCAGAGCCAAAGACACTGTCCCCCTGAGGCCCCAAGTCACGGTCGTTCCTGGGGCCAGTCTGCCTGTTCCCAGTGCTGTCTCTGGGCTTGCATGGAGAAGACCCTGCTTGGCTGGTGGGTAAGAAAAGGGGCGAGAGACGGCCGTCGGAGGCCCTCCCTCTCCAGCAGACAGAACCTCACCTGTTCATCTTCTCTGTGCGCGTAGAAGATCAAACACCATTTTCAAAAATAAAGAAAGAAAAGACAATTTTACCGAGAGTCTAGTTGATTACATTGCACAGAAATCCCTGCACATTTCTGGTCCTAAAATCCTTGGTAATCCTGGCAGAAGAGTTCACAAACTTCCCAGCTGTTAGATTTCTTCCCTGGTTGGCCTCATTTCCCATAAAAACGTACAACCCACTAAGAATTCCGGAGGAGACAGGTCATCTCACATGGTGCTATCTGGAACGAGGCAGATGCTACTGCCGGCTGCTTGGGTCTGTAACGCCATCGCTGGAAGGGAATGGAGGAGACAGGACCTGGGATGCCCCTGCGGCAGGGTCTCATGCTGGGGCGCGGTCCAGAGGACCAGCACCCCCAATGAGCAGGAGCCTGGGGTGGCTAGTGCCCACTCAGCATTGGCAGTGGCCCAGCACCCAAGCCCAGGGCAGGGGGAGGCCACAGGGAGCACAGAAGCCAGTCATGCTGATGGCTTGATCCTTTCTACATTTTCACAGCATTGGAGGATTCCTTTAGATGCCCAATCAGTTAACGTTTCTTGGTCTGTCATTTGGTTCACTTCCCTGGCCCTAAGTTGCGGACATCCGAGAGTCACACCTGAGGAAGTATCTAAGTCAAAATGTGCAGGATTTGCGAAGGGCTGAGCTGCAAGCCCTGAACTCACCTGTCTGCCTCTCACATACAAATTCCAAGGTGCTCCACGTCACTAGCCATGCAGTCACCAAGGGTGATGTTTCCTGAGCCAGGGTCCGAGCATACACTCCTGCATGTTGCTCTAGACCAGCTAATTAGCATTAGCTGTATTAATGAGCCGGCTGTCCGGAGACCTTCTGCCCCCGCTCCTTTCCCGTCCCTTCTCTGGTGCTCCTGGAATGCAGGAATAAGCCTTCATCTATCTCCTTGGTACGTGGACAAAGAGAATGCCAAGTAAAAATTGTAAATGGAGAAAATACTAGTCTGCAATCTATTTAAATTAAGTATATTGAACTACAGATGGCTTTTTTTCCCCCTGGACTGGAGAGGGAACCCAAGCCTGGTGCATACTCAGCAAATGCTGAGCTATAGCTACAGCCCTGGAGCAGATGCTCACAGGCGGTAACCCTGCAAGTGGCTCTGGGTGATCTCCAGAGGCACCTCCCTGAGCCCCAGGGCCACCCAGAGAGGTGAGTGCTGCCCCCAGGCTTCCTCCCGGAAGAGGGCTCTGAGGCCCCGCGGGATCTACAGGCAGGGGAGGAAGGTGCAGACCCAGGGAGTCTCACTCCAAGCTCTCAACACCCGGCAGGAAAGGAAAGTTTCCAAAAACTAAATGTGCGTTGATGAGCTCACTGCTAACCCAACGTCAGCCTAACAGTGCATGACAGGGTCCCCCACCCGGGGTCGCCCTGCCCTCTCACTCACAGCTCAGAGAGGCCTGTGGGATCAGGAGCTCCACAGGAGGGACTGGTTCCAGGTTTTCTCCTCCACTCCACACAGGTGCAGAGACCTTCCTGGTCTCAGAGCTTCGTCCTCACTGGAGAACACGACTTTCTTCCTCTGGACACACCTTCATATTCCACCTCTGCGGAGCCGGGTAACTGACAGCACATCCCCTGGGCCAGGGTGAGCAGCCTGCACGCCCCGTGCACTGTCACCCAGAGAGAAGAACGAGCTGCTCTGTACAAATCTTGCCTTTCAAAGAATTAATTTCCAAGGCGATAGTCCCGTGGAAGGCAGAGGCAGATTCGTCGCACAGCTGAAGCACCCCTGAGTTCACTGGCTTTCCAATGGGAGGGGAAATGACAAAGTGGGCGATTAGCTGTGGACTTCCGGCAGGACTATGAGGATGACCAACACAGACAAGAAAACACAAGTGTCCCAGGAGGCAGCAAGGCTTCTGGTGTCAATTCTCTGGCCCATTTGATTAAAATGATTGTGAAACGCTTGTCAAACAGGTCCTGCGATAGCTGCACTGAGAAGGGTCATCACCAGGTTGCTTTGGCTGCGTTACCTGAGCCGCTGTGGCCCATAGACAGGTACAGGAACCCCAATGGTGCCGTCAAGCCAGTAGCGTTCACATCGGGTGTGGACTGTGGCCATCTTTTGGTCTTTGGCGAGGCAGGGTCAGTAGTGAAGAGAGACCGAGCATCTGGGGAGAGGGTGCTGCAGCCAAAAGGGCCAGGGAACCCACACGCACCCTGTGGGCTGGTGCCCTGCGGGCCTGAGCCCTGCTTTGCCGGTCCACTTGATGGAAGCAAACGGGAAAAGGCAGCAGAGACAGGCTACGGGATGGGCAGGCCAGGGACATGGGACCCAGCTCTGCCTGGCCCTCTGCCTTACCCCACATTGACAGAGGTGCTGGCAGCTGAGCCTGCCTACCTCTGGCTCATCGTAATGGTGCCAGGAGACCAATTTCTGGTATCTAGAGAAGCTGGCATTCGTCATCAAGGAGCAGGATAGAAGGCGCCCAGTGGTTCAGGCAAGTTAAATGTGCAGAAGGGGCCATGGGGGGGAGGGGCACTGCCAGTTTTCCCAAGAGGAACCCTGGCTCCCTACAGACGCTGGGGGAGGACCCTCAGGATGATGGGGACCGGGGCAGCCTGAAGAGCTTCAAGACTGCTTCTTCCAGGTGCCAGAGCTAGTCGCCCAGCTGCAACCTCGAAGCTGTGGTGCGGGGCGCTGGCCCACAGGCTGCAATACGCTGGCAGTTAAAGCGGCAAGATGTCCAGGTCCCAGCGAGGGCGGATGGCTCAGACAGGAGACCAGGAAAGCCAGCTAGACCAACGGAAACCATCGCCAGAGGTGATGTCCCTCAGCAACTCACAGGGCTCTGGCCTCCTCTGGTCCACCAGGGCTGGGGACAGTGGCAGCAGACCCAGAAGGGCACACTGCTCTGAGAGTTCTGGAGGGGCAAAGCCAGAGACCCCAGCCCTGGCATAGTCCCCTGCGTGGCCGAGTCCTGTTCTACAGAGGCTCCTCGTTCTAAGAAGCCGGCTCAGGCACTGTGTGTTACACATTCAGTTCCTCTGTCCCCTCTTGCTTTCCAAGTGCCTGTGATTCACCCATAGAACATTCAAGAACCGAGGGAGGCCGCGTGGGGGGCAGCTGCCTCTCAGCCCACCCCACATGTGAAGCTGGTGCGCCCCTCACTGCTGCTCAGCAGACAGGGCCACTCCCCGCCCATTTCTAGGAGGTGGAGCAGCCTGAGGGGTGTGCTGTGCCCGGCAGGTTCTGACCCGGCCTGGCCTCTGGGCTGGTGGAACACAGCAGATTCCAGCCGTTGGGGACTCCGTCCTGTGCTGCCCTGGGGGAGTGCCTGCCCTCACTCGGGATGGTGGGATGGCTGAGTGGCTCGAGCTGGAACCGCCATCAGGTGGGCAATAGGCCTCAGGATGGCTGAGGCTCCCTGCTGGGGTGGGAGGGGCGGGGGAGCCACCAAGGCTCCTCACAGTCCTGCTGGGAAGACAAGGGAGCAAGGACACAGGTGACGAGCGGTCCACCCAAGGGCATCGCTGCAAAGCACCCACAGGAGGAAGGGCCGGATAGCAACAGGGGGACAGGGCTGCTCCCAGCTGCCCTGTAGATCAGAGGGTGGCAGAGGATTCCAGCCCAGTCCCCAGGTCTCCCTGCCTGGTGGTTCCCTTGTGCCACAGGATCTTCTCTGGCCCTACCCAGCCCTAGCAGCCCCGAGCCTCTATTCTGCTGACAGAAAGCAAATTGGGCTTAATCTCTGCTGCCGGGTTTTTCCTGGGCCCTGATGGAAAGAGCTCAGGTTTCCTGAGCAAGGTCCAGCAGGTGTCCACTGCCCTCTGGCTCCTGGAGGGCTTCCAGGGAGCTAGGAGGGGCCCTGCAGGAGAGGCGCTGTCCAGGCAAGGCAAGGGTCCTCAAGAGGGGAGCAGGTCTGGTTCCAGCAATGCAGAAGGAAGCTTGGGAAGCTCAGGGGCGAGAGCAATCCTGGGACAGAGACCTCCGGAGGAGGGTGCAGACACCAGATGCTCGACCTCATTAGTCATAGGAAAACGCAGACGAAAGCCACCCTGACTTCCCACTGTGCATGTCACACCCACAGTGCTGACATTAAAAGACTGGGGACCCCACATGTGGTGAGGACCTGGAGGTGCCTCCCTCCCAGACAGCCGGGGTGTGAGCAGGTAGATTTAACTACTTCGGCAGCAGGGTGCTGGCAGGAGAGAGGCCACTGGCCTCTGAGCAGCCCTGAAGCCAGCTGTGCCTGCTCTAGACAACTCTCAGACGCCGGGGGGTCTTGGGACACAGTCCTCCCTACCAGGCAGAGCCAAGGACCCTGTTTCCCAAGATCAGATGGGTTTTATGAGTTCTGTGGAAATGCTGGGAATTCCAAATTATGTGTAAATCCCTTTGACTCTTCAACATTGACAATTCAAATATCCTGAAACTACATACACAGGCCAACTCAGGCCTGAGGCTACCATTTTTCAATCCCTGTAAAGATAGGTATTGATAAATGTTCAAAAAGGATTTGGCAGAATAACACCAATCATGACACTCAGAGAGGGGGTTGGTGCTGACAGGGCTGCAGGCTGGAGGCCCAACGTCTAGGTCCAAGGACCCTCCGTGTCTGCTGAGGGCTTCTTCCTGGGTGGGCAGATGGCACCTTGTCTCTGCTCGCCAGTGGTCGAAGGGGCAGGGGGCCCTCTGGTCTCTCCCAGTCGGGAGGCCTTAATCACTTCCCCCACCTCCTGACCATGGCCTCAGGGTGAAGAACTCAACATGAGTTGGGGGATAGACGCAAACACCCAGGCCTCAGCCAAGACCAGCACAGATGTCCTAATACCTAGAGCAGGACCCTGTGTCACCCCTGCTCACTGGTGAGGAAGCCACCCCAGGTGGAGACGGCTGTGCATGGGGCGGCTCAGTGCTGTCCCCGAGAACTACATGCCGCGGGGAGTTTGGGAAATTGATAACCGCTGTCCTGTAATCTTGCTAAGCCCTCCAAAATGGTGTTCTGCAAACCTCAGAACATTTGTTTTTCGACGAGGAAAACAGAATTTTCAACTTGGAAAAAGACAATTTCTGTGTTTCGCTTTCCTGATAATTTTGCATTCCCTGGTGGTGTTAAATGTTGCTTAGATTTATAATAGAAAGCAATTACCAGACAAATCCACCATCTTCAGCTAATACGGTTCCCTTCAAAATGCAATGTTTCTGAAAAAACAGATAAAAGCCGGGCTTAAATGATCACATTTTGGAAGGCAATTCCTTTTATATCTTTTTAAAAGTGATTACAGACAGATTTGCTTTGCCAAAAAAGCCAACGCCTAGTACACTTGTACTTTATTTTTTTGGCATCCCTCAGTCCCTTAATTTTTTTGCAATTAGGGAAATATTTGATGATGGTAACTTCTCGCCCTTGAGTCAGACTGCACCTCCCCGTCATCCCTCCCAGCTCCTCCAGCTCATCCAGACTCCCCCATGCTGACTCCTCGCGGGGCCCTTCAGACCCAGATCCCTGTCACGTTCCTGCACTGCCTGTGGGTTATCTGGATCTGAATTGCAGAGTTTTACTGCAAGCCTTCTGGAGCAGAATGGAGGGTGCTTCAGTTTGGGGGGAGCCTGATGACCCTTATGTCAGGTGGAAAACAGAAACTGAGCAAGGGGTGGGAACAGATGTGGCCTGTGGACTGGGGCGGAGCTCAGGGGAGCCCTGTCAGTGGGTGAGGCCCTGGGTTCCATCCTCAACCCTGGAAAAAGAAGACAGGCAAGACCTAGGTGTGCATCCAAGTTCCATGACTGCCCAGCTGCAAAACCCTCAACGGCCTCTGAACTGAGCTCTCTCAGCTGTAAAATGGAAAGAACAGCATTTACTCCTTAGGTGGTGCTGAGGGCCTGCACAATGCCGTGGCCAGGTGCCCAACACCAGGGAGCCGGGGAGCCACTCTGCAGCAAGGGTACCCTCTACCCCTGCCCTGGGAGAGGGTGCTCTCCTGAGACCTACCCGTCCTGTCCCTCTGGGAGCAGAGACTGACCCTCTGTCCACCCTGGAGCCAGGATGCCCTCCCTTCATAGGCACCGTGGCAGAAGCCCCCAGTGCTCACTGGCCCCCTCTGGCCCCCATGCCTCTGGGGCCCTGCAGTGGGTTCTGGGAACTTGAGCAGATGTGAGGCTCACTATCCACCCCACCCGCCACTCCAGCCCAGCCAGGGCTTTTATACTGCGCTTGGTGTGGCCTCATCCTTTTCTGCCTAAAGCAGAGGGTGCTGAGACTCAGGGGAACTCACTTTGGAAAGGCCGGGGTCGCCGACTTGCTAGCCCCCACCAACTGGGAACACCTGCATTATATGGAAAAGAAAGAAACTATCACATCAGCCCTTAAAGATTTTGGAGGAATTTGCCATTGCACATGGACGGGATAGGAGGTGCCCCGCCGCCATGTGGAGAACCAAAGGGCACCAGTGCCTCTATTTCCCCCTGGGCATGCTGGGCGTGAGCCCGCAACTCAAGTTCTGTGGTGGGCCTCTTCTCTAGGACATGAAGTCTCCCAGAAGCTGTGGACAATGTGTCCTCACAGCATGGCCTCAGCGGGGACTCCCCTGTCCTGACTGTCCAGCTTTCTTAGCTGGCTCTGTTTTCCGAGCCTGACTTCCAGCCCACAGGATTCTGTGAACTCCGGTCCCTCTGTGCCTAAGAAAGCCAGGGTCAGCCTGCTGCCTGCACCAAGAGCCCTGACCAACACCCTTGATATCAGAGGGGAAGAATGTTTACACAG